GTGTAATTTTCAAACCATTAAAGTAATAATGAGTGGAACAAAAACAAATGGGACAAAGGGCAATAAATGGACATGGGGGCAAGAAGAAAGGACGTTAACAGAAAACAAAAGGTCAGGAATAAATCCAAATATATCAGCATATTCTGGGTTAACATCTATCAAAAAGCAAACTCTTACTTTTTGAGCATTTTGTTTTTAAAAGCCCAGTTATATGCTGTTTATATGAGTTTCACCTAAAGCAGAAATAGGAATGGAAAATATATGCCAATAAAATAACAGCAGAAAAAAGGAAAAGAAAGGCAGGGAGGGAAAGGAGGAGAAGGAAAAAAAAAAGAAAGGCAAGAAAGGAAAGGAAAGAGACTTGTAGCAATACTAATATCATAAAAATCAAGAACTCAAAGTAAAAGGCATTAAAGAGAACAGGTTGTTTCATTCACTGAGAAAGAGATGACAGTCACGAAAATTTATGTGCCAAGCAATGTCATTTCAAAATATATAAAGCAAATACTGTTAGAAATAGAAAGAGAGATCAGGAAGTTTTCCATTATAGTGGGAGACTTAACCACACTTTCTATGGTATAGATAAATCAAATAGACTGCAAAATAAATGAGGATATAGAGAGATGGAACAACACCATCAATAAGCCTAATGTATATGTGTTTTTGTACTCAAAAGAGGATGTGTATTCTTTTATAAACTATTTTTAAATATTTCAAACATTTAGAAAAGTAGAGTACGAAATACACATTTGAATACACCTTTCACACAGATTGAGCAAATTTTATTTTTGCCAGATCCTTTTGTTTTTGAAACAAAATAGTAGTTGAAGCCCTCACTTTATCCTATTCACCTGACTTCTTTTCCCAAATAAGCCCCATTTGGAAGTTGACGCGTTTCCTTCTTGTCCATGCGCGTTTGTATACACACACACATATCTGTTACCAATACACATCTTTGTTTTGTGTTTCAGATTATGTAAATTGTATGATGATAAATAATATCCTTTCACAATAAATTTTCACTCTGTATCATTTTGGGGGAAACAGCAATTTTGATACATGTAGATACATGTAAACTTTCAAACCATTAAAGTAATAATATGTGGAACAAAGAAAAATGTGACCGAGGGCAAGAAATGGAGGTGGGGGCAAGAAGAAAGGACGTAAACAGAAAACAAAGGTCAGGAATAAATCCACATATGTCAGCATGTATTATGGGTTAACATCTCCTATTAAAAAGCAAACTCTTACTTTTTGAGCATTTTGTCATGCATTTTAACACTCAGGACTGAATATTATTGTATCCATTATTCAATATGATAGTACTATAGCATTATTGTATGGACTTCTGTTGCATGAATTATCCAATTTATTTATCTCTTTCCCTACTGTTAGACTTGGGTTGCTTCCCTCTTGTGCAATCATAAATGAAGATTCAATGAACATGCTAGTGGAAGTGTTTCTCCAAGTCTGAGCTGAGTTATGGGTGTTCTGATATATTGATCCCCTTAGCCCTCCAGAAAGGTGGCCCTGACTGTACCCAGCTGCTGCCCTGGGGGACTGTTGCCTCTGGCCAAGAACATACTGTCTGTTTATCCCAGTGACCTGGTACAAATAGGGGCATTTTAAATATGTGCTTTAACATCAAAAGGATTGGAAAAACTGCTCTAATGTAAGTACATTGAAGTAGAATTTCTTGGTCAAAGGGTATGTAGTAGTTATCTACAGCTGCATAAAAAATTGCCCTAAAATGTAGTAGCTAAAAACAACAAACATTTATTATATCATAGTTTCTGTGTGTCAGGAATACAAGCATGACTTAGCTAGGGACCTCTGGCTCAAAGCCTCTGGCTCAAGGTCTGTCATAAAGTTGCACTTAAGCTCTCATCTGCAGTTGCAGTCTCATTTGAAGGCTCAGTTAGGGGAGAGGTCTACTTCCAAGATCCTTTACATGGCTGTTGGCAGGCCAAAGACAATTCATTTCTAAGCCAACTCACATGGTTGCTGTCAGGCTTTGGATTCCTTGTCATGTGGGCCTATCCATAGTAATTTTGTTTCCTCTCTTTTTTTCTTGGTCAGCCTGGCTAGAAGCTTATCAATCATGTTAATCTTTTCAAAGAACCAGCTTTTCATTTCACTAATTTTTCTCTACTATTATTCTGTTTTCAATTGCATTGATTTCTGCTCTAATTTTTATTATATGTTTTCTTTTGCTTACTTTGGATTTAATTTGCTCTTCTTTTTCTAGTTACCTAAGGTGGAAGTTTAGATGATTAATTTCAGACCTTTCTTATTTTCTAACATATGCTTTCAATGCTACAAATTTCCCTCTAAGTCCTGCTTTTGTTGCATCCCACAAATTTTGGTAAGTCATATTTTCATTTTCATTTATCTCAAAAATATTTTTTTTGAGACAGATTCTCACTCTGTCACATGGGTAAGAGTGCCGTGGTGTCAGCTTAGTTCACAGCAACCTCAAACTCCTGGGCTCAAGCGATCCTCCTGCCTCAGCCTCCCGAGTAGCTGGGACTACAGGCATGCGCCACCATGCCCGGCTAATGTTTTCTATATATTTTTAGTTGGCCTATTAATTTCTTTCTATTTTTGGTAGAGACGGGGGTCTCACTCTTGCTCATGCTCATTTGGAACCCCTGACCTTGAGTGATCCACCCACCTTGGCCTCCCAGAGTGCTAGGATTACAGGCATGAGCCACTGCGCCTGGCCTCAAAATATTTTTTAAGTTATCTTGAGACTTCTTCTTTTTACCCATGTGTTATTTAGAAGTGCATTGTTTAATTTCCAAATATTATGGGATTTTCCAGCTATTGTTCTGTTATTGATTCCTAATAAATTCCATTATGGTCTGAGAACATACTTTGTAAGGCGTCTATTCTTTTAAATTTGTTAAGGTGTGTTTCATAGCCCGGGATGTGGTCTATCACGGTGAGTGTTCCATGTGAGCTTAAAAAGAATATGTATTCTGCTGTTGTTGGATGAAGTAGTCTATAAATGTCAATTAGATCCAGTTGATTGATGGTGCTATGCAGTTGAACAATATCTTTACTGATTTCCTGCCTGCTGGATATGTCAATTACTGATAGAGGAGGGTTAAAGTTTCCAACTTATAATAGTGGATTCATCTACTTTTCTTTGCAGTCCTATCAGTTTTTGCCTCATGTATTTCGATGCTCTGTTGTTAGGCATATACACATTAAGGATTGTTATGTTTTCTTGGAGAACTGACCCCTTTTATCATTACATAATGCTCCTATTCATCCCTAATATTTTTCTTTGTTATGAAACCTGCTGTATCTGAAATTAACATAGCTATTCCAACTTTCTTTTAATTAGTGTTAGCATGATCTATCTTTCTTTATCCCTTTACTTTTTAATTTATCTGTGTCTTTAAAGTAGGTTTCATATAGACAACATATAGTTGGGTCTTGTTTTTTAATCCATTCCGATTGTCTCTTGTAAGTGATATATTTAGACCACATTTAAAGTAATTATTTTTATAGTTAGATTAATATCTGCTGTATCATACTTATAACCATTTCCTATTTGTTGCCTTTGCATTTTTTTTTTTTTTTGAGACAGAGTCTCACTCTGTTGCCCAGGCTAGAGTGCCGTGGCATCAGCCTAGCTCACAGCAACCTCAAACTCCTGGGCTCAAATGATCCTCCCGCCTTGGCCTCCCAGAGTGCTAGGATTACAGGCATGAGCCACCATGCCTGGCCTTGTTGCCTTTGTTCTTTGTTCCTTTTTGTCTTCCATTCTTTTTCTGTCTTCTCCGATTTTAATTAAGCATTTCAAATGATTCTATTTTCTCTCCTCTCCTAACATATCAATTACACTTTTTATTTTTAAGAGACTGGGTCTCGCTCTGTCACCCAGGCTGGAGTACACTGGTGGCATGATCATAGCTCATTGCAGCCTCAAACTCCTGGGTATAGTGATCCTCTTGCCTCAACCTCCTGAATCACTGGGACTATAGACATGAGCCACTGCACCCAGCTATACTTCGTATTTTTACTTTTTTTAGTGATCACCCTAGAGCTTGCAATAAACATTTACAACTAATCCAAATCCACTTTTAAATAACACTATAGCATTTCACAGATAGTGCAGGTACCTTAAAACAGAATGTTCCCAATTCCTCTCTTCAGTCCCTTATAACAGAAATATCATAAGCATTTCTGGCATTCATTTTCCTTGTCCATAAGGTATAATTATCCAATATGTTGTTATTATTATTTTTTAAACAAACTCTTGCTAGATCAGTTAAGAAGAAGAAAAACAAAATGTTTTACTTATACCTTCATTTATTCCTTTTCGAATGCTGTTCTCTTTAAGTAGATCTAAGTTCTTATATCATTTTTCTTCTCTCTGAAGAACTTCTTTTAACATTTCTTGCAAGGCAGGTCTCAGAAGTGACATCCTAGCACTTTTGCCATGTTCTGTTTATTAAATGTGAGTTACTAAGTCTAACCCACACTCAAGGGGAGGGGATTACACAAGGGCATGAATTTCAGCAGGTGGAGGTCATGGGGGCAGGAGGGAGTAGGAGTATTACAACTTTAATAGATATTGCCAAGCTGCTTTCCAAAGTGGTTGGAACAATTTACATTTCCACCTGAAGTTTATTTATATCAGTGTTTCCCCACATCCTTACCACTCTTAATATATTCAGCCTTTAAAATTGTAGCCAATCTGATGACATTGGAACACTGTTGCTTGACTTTGCTTTTCCCTAAAATACTAGAGAAGTTAAGCATCTTTTCACATCTTTTGGCCATTTAGATTTTTTCTTCTCTGAATTGTTTGTTCATATCTTTTGTCCATTTTTCTATGGGGTTGTTTTTCTTGTTATTATTGATTTCTAGGAAATGTTTATATATTCTGAATACCAAATGTCAGTTACATTTGTACAGTTGCAAATATCTTCTTCTAGTTGGTGTTTTCTTTAAATGTAAATATGAAGTTATAAAAGTACTTAAAATAAACCATGGGAGAATGTCTTTTTATAATCCTGGAGTGGAGAAGGACTTTGTGAGTTTGACAAAATACCTAAGGGCAAAAAAAGAAAAGGTTTAACTACATAAAAATAAAATCTTCTGGCAGACAAAAAATAAACAATTCTAAGTAAACTAAGAGACAAATGAAAACCTGTTGAAAATATTTGCTGCTAATTTCACAAAGGGCTAATTCCCCAAATACATGAAGAGCTCCTATAAACCAATAAAAGTCCAACAAACCAATTTTAAAATAAGCAAAGGATATCAATATATAGTTTATTAGGAAAGAAATACAGGCCGGGCGAGGTGGCTCATGCCTGTAATCCTAGCTCTCTGGGAGGCCGAGGTGGGCAGATTGCTCAAGGTCAGGAGTTCAAAACCAGCCTGAGCAAGACCCTGTCTCTATTATAAATAGAAAGAAAGTAATTGGCCAACTAACATATATAGAAAAAATTAGCCGGGCATGGTGGCGCATGCCTGTAGTCCCAGCTACTTGGGAGGCTGAGGCAGGAGGATCGCTTGAGCCCAGGAGTTTGAGGTTGCTGTGAGCTAGGCTGACACCACGGCACTCACTCTAGCCTGGGCAACAAAGTGAGACTTTCTCAAAAAAAAAAAAAAAAGAAAAAAGAAAAAAGAAAGAAAGAAAGAAATACAAATGGCACTTAAACACATGAGAAGATGCTTAAACTCACTGATAAAAATTTAAAAAAAAAGGAGATACCATTTCACCTATCAGGCAATTATGATTTTTGGTTTTTTTCACTATGAACAATACTATGATATACATCTGCTATGGTTTGAATGTCCTCTTTTAAATTCATGTTGAAATTTAATTGCTAATGTAACAGCGTTGGGAGGTAGGGCCTTTAAGAGGTGATTAGGTCATGGGGGCTCCACCCTCATTGATAGATTAGTTATCTTGGGAATGGATTAGTTATACAGGGAATGGGTTCCTGATAAAAGAAGTTCAGCCCCTTCTTGCTCTGTTTTGCATGCTTGATTATACCTTCTGCCACGTGATGATGCCCACTAGATGCTATGCTCTTGGACTTCCCAGCCTACAGAGCCATAAGCCAAATACACTTCTGTTGTTTATAAATTACCCAGTCTGTGGTATTCTGTTGTAGCAGCAAAAAAAAAAAATGGACTAAGGCAACATCTTTGTCACTATAGGTCATTAGGTACTGGGGCTTTCATTCCTATGAGATGATGTCTCAGAAGTAGGATTGTTGGGTCAAAAGATACATATCTTTTTAATCTTAATAAGTGGTTCCTGATTGCTTTCTCTAAAGGCTGGAGACTTTTTTGCTTCCTCAGTAATGTGTGGCCCTGCACTCTGGCTAACTCAGCTTATCCTAGGCAGAGATTCCTCTCCTAGGGATTTGAAACTCAAAAGGAGAAAGATAGAGATTGAGAAAATTAGAGCCATGTCATGTTCACATGAATTAGTTCTGAAAATAAGCCCAGTATCTTGAAAAGACAGTCTTATTTTTTGCCCAAGTTAGCCAGAGTTGAATCTGTTGCTTGCAACCAAAAGAAAGTTAAGAATTCTGGTCACAGACTGAGCCCTGAACCTGGTCACAAACCAAGCCCTGATCCCAGCTACAAATTCAACTCTGATCCTGGCCACACACGGGGTCCTCACCTAAGTTGAAAACAAAGGGCCATTCCTGGCCCCAGACTTCACTGACCCCTCTGCAAAGGGTATTCCTGCCTGCAAGGGGGGCCAGGCAAGCCAGTGCACACATTTCAGCCAAATGTCCCCACAGCCTGGGATGCAAAGTTAAGGCCTCTTTGTGGCAACTAAAGCCAATGAATTCTTGAGATAGGGGAATCTCTTGTGAAGAAAACTTTGTAGAATCTAAGTCAGAGATGTTTGGGGGGCATCTGTGGTACAGGGAATAATGGATCAAAAGGGAAACTGGTTGGGGGTGGGGCTAGGGGTTTGGTCTGTGGACACAGAGAGTACCAATGGGAGGGAACCAGATATCTGGAGTTGAATGGGGCTGGACTCAAGCCCCTCCTGGAGCCTGCGACAGTCCCAGTGACACAGAGATCCTGAGCTCCCAGGATAAGCTCAGAGGAGATGTCATTGAGAGGTCCAGATGGCCTGTGGCCCAGAGGCCTCCCCCTTTCTCTCTCTCAGCCTTCTGCCACTGCCTTGACCAGGCTGATGGCCGCCATGCTGCCTGGCCTGCCCCTCTCCCCACTGTCCTGACTTCCCACAGCCCCTGAAGCCACCTGCCTCCACCTCCTCCCTCCCTTCATCTTTTCCCCTGGCATGGCTTTCCATTGCGTGCCTCCTGCTGAGTTTCAGGGATTACAACTGTCTACTGTGGGCCACGGCTTCCTTCTCTTCTCCCCGGAGCCAGGAGGCTCTTGCCAAGATCTAGTCCCAGCCTTACCCCAAGGTTCTCTGGAAGGAATTAGGCAGATCTTGCTGGGTGTGGGGTTGGAGGGGCGAGCCAAGTGCGTGAGGAGGGGACTAACATTTGTCAAACACCTATTGTATGCCAGGTAGGGACTTAGTACATACTTCCCTTATTTAATCTCCACAGCAAGCCTGTGAGGTCATGATTCTTATGTTCAGAGGGGGAAGCTGAGGCCCAGGGATGTTCAAGGATTTGTCCAAGGCTACTCAGCTAGAGGTGGCAGAGCTGGGATTTGGAGCCAGGACTGTTGACTCCAAAGCCAGCTACTTCTAGACCTGAGGTGAGAGAAATGTGGTGGCCTCAGTTCCTGCCTAAAATGGAGACCCTACCAGGTAGGGAGTTCCCTGGCAGAGGCCAAGAGCGCTGAGGGGGGGAAGCAGAGAGGCCAGCTGGGTAAAACATGGGCCAGAGAGGCAGAGAATCAGGCTCCCCTCACCCCAGCTCCCTGAAGCCTCTGCTCAGGCAGCGCTGGTTCCCCTCCTTCCATTGGGTCTCCCCTCTCCCCTCAGTGCCTCTGTGCTTCTGTTAACAGGGAGAGCAGAGAGCTAGCTGCTGGTGCTGGGGAGATGGCTGGGGCAGGTTTTGGCAGAGTCAGAGGCCAGAACAGAGTTAACCCACAGACAAGAACTCTGGGCTGCCGCTGGGCCTCATTGTTCCCATCCGGGCAATGGAGGAGTTCGATGATGGCTGAGACTGTGTCAGTTCTGCCAGCATGTGTGTGGTGGGGCCTGCCTGGGCAGGGACATGCTGTGGCCATGTCAGCAGGGAGAGCTTTGCCCACAGAACATGACTAGGGGAGTGGCAAGGGCAGGAGCGAGGCTAAGCTTGGAAGATGCATCAATCGCTGGCACAAGACCAACCCCGTTGGGCCCTGCTTGGCATCCAAACCCTGCCCTGGCTGCCCTATCCCAACAGAAGCGTGGAGAGTAAGGAAGTGGGAAGCTGTGGTTAATGGAAAACGGGCCTTTTGGAAAAGAGGAAAATAAGGGGAAGTGCAAGAAGGCAAGAAAAAGCTCTGAGAGGGACAGAAAATGGCACTGGGTGGCTTCTTCACTGGAGCTCTAGTTCCAGGCCTGATGGCCCTGCTTGCTATGCCACTCTGAACAAGTCTTTTTCCTTTTTGGACCTCAGTGTTCTCATCTGCACAGTGAGAGTTTGAACCTAAACATCCTCCAAGAGCTCTGACAGCTCTCATGTTCCAGAATCTTCTACAAGCCTGCTCTGAGTCAAGCCCCTTAAGCTTGGCTGTGCCTCAAGGCACTGACAGTTGTTCTGATGTACTGTAGGAGTCAGAGTGACATGGGGGGTCATTGGGGTCATTCTAGGATCCAACATGAACTCAACATGGCCTAAAGGCTTGGTTGGATTGGTGCCCAGTCCATCTTTCCAGCCTCCCCTCTGCCTTCCCAGTTTCCCTGACCTCCTTTCCTTGCCCAGAACCTACCAGACTCCCTGTTGCTTTAGCAGCTTCACACACGCTGTTCCCCATAGTTGGAACACAGTTCCCCCACCTCTTTGCTGGCTAATTTTTCTTTCTGATCTAAGCTGAAACGGCCCTTCTTCCAGGAAGTCTTTATGGCCCCTAGCCTAGGCCAGCTCCTACGCTGAGCCACTGTCACGGAGTCATGATACTGGTCACAATAGCAATTGCTTGTGCCACATCTTGACGTTTGCCTCTGTCCCCCTCCCCAATTACTATCAGCTGCCTGAGGGCAGGGACTTGTTGATCGCATTCCCAGCTGCATTCCTGGTTTCCAGTAGCCCCGGAAACTTTCAACCAACAAATATTTCCTGAAAACAAAATCCCTAGCAGCTACCATGTACTGTAGACTACCAGGGCCAGGCACAGACATACAGCATCTCGCTGTGTCCTTGGATCACACTCCCCCTCCTCGCTTCTCAGGTGCGGGATGCAGGGCGGAGGGGTGACGGGCTTTGTGTCGCCAGAAGAGCTTTGCCCCACCAGCGTGTGAGCCGCGCGGAGCCCGCCTGGCAAGCGGGTCTGCCTGCTTCGCGCCTCCTTTTTTCGCTTGCCGCGGCTCTTCGGAGAGGAGCAGCAGCTGTGGCCTCTCCGCGTGTTCCCATAGCAACCAGCGCTTACCTCCCGCTCGCACTGGTTCCTAATTGCCTGATTACGCGTCTTCTCCCCCGCCAGCTCCCGAGCTTCTTGAGAGCAGGGTCTATGGCGGGCTTTGCTCACCATTGCGTGGCTCCAGGCTCAGTGAGTATTAGTTAAATGAACAAAAAATGAATGCATGACCATCCATGCACATGGGTTTTTAAAAGCTTTGATCACAAACAAGGCACCTGGCAGCCTGTAGTGGCTGAGAGAGGGGGCGAGTTGAGGACTCGGTGCTCCTCAGCTCACCTCTGCTGAGTGGCGTGGGTGGCCGCCCCCTCCTCTCTCCCCTGCCGCCTGGGGAAGCTATTTAGAAAACAGGCAAGGCAGCCTGCGCGGTCAGGGCTGTGGGCAGGAGGGGGTGCTGGAGACGGTGGGACTCTGTCCCTAGCAGTCCCCCACCCCGCCACCCCACCGCTCGCGCGCTGTACGCACGCATGCTCGCCCTCACGCCTCCTCTGATGGAAGCCATCTGAAATGGCCACTTTGGCTTCGAGAATTCCCAGAAACCACTGAGTTTCCTATTCAATTCTAATGCTCAGTGCACAATCTCACCAGCCGGCCTCTTCCCTCTCCCTCCCCACTGCAAACATGTTGTGCCCACTCGCCACCATCTTCCACCTGAGCTGCTCCACCAGCCACCTCCCTGCCCCCCACCCTGTTCCTTTCCCTTCCCCTCCCCCACCTTCCATGGCACAGCCGAAAGGAGAGTCTCAAATAGAAATCATCCCATGTTATTCCCAGCCAGACTCACAAGGGAGGCAGGTGCTGGCATCATTTTTGTGTCGTGACAGAGTTTAAGTCATTGAAGCCCCTAGAGGGGCAGCGGGCAGACCTACCAGTCCATTAGTTTAGTGTTTAAATATTGTTGCCTTAAATGTTTGACTCTAGACCAAAGGTGAGCTAGTGAACCCAGGGTTCATGAAGATGGGGCCAATATGAGTTTGTAGAAGGGACACACACAAAAAAATGACAAGGTGCGCACTTTGCAGAGGTTGCTATGGGAAGGTACAGGGAAGTATGTTTGTGCAGAACCAAGGAAGGCTTCATGGAGGAAGGAACATTTTTGCTGGCCTTTCTGTCAGAAATCACTGGTTGCAAGCAACAGAAAGCATCTCGGACTAACTTAGGAGAAAAGGTAATTTATGGGGCTGGAGGGGTAGGCTATAGGGAACGTACTGAATCAAGGGAAAGGCTAGAGAATGGAGCTAGGCATAAGCAAAGGCAGTTCTGGGGGAGGGGTTGGGAAGGGATAGGAAGCAGGAATGGTTTGATCAGGGTGCTGCTGCTGAAATGGATGAGGTCTGTTTCCTCTATTCTTATATGGTTTGCTCCAGTTTCCAAGTGCAAAGAGAATGTCTGGTGACCAAGCTTGGTCCTATGTCTGCCTCCTGGTTACACTGGGCTGGGGAAAGGCAGGGAATGTCCCTTTGGCTTCTATGGGGGAAGCACACTTGAATTTACTCTTTCACCAACCTTACCCCAGTGAGGCAGAGACAATTTACTTAAATGAAACAGAAGTCTAAGGAAAGGAAAGAAATGAATGCTGGGGAGCTGCAAACCGACAAATGTCTACTCCTAGGCAGAAGGAACCAAGTGGGCAAAGCACTGAAGCCTGCTGTGCTCACAGCAGGTGGCCAGCATCTTGTGACTAGAGTGTAAGAGGAGGAAGGCAAAGAGTCACCGATGACAGAGATGACAGATCGGTGTGCCCCGTGGAGCAGGCCATAGGGAGCCAGCATCTAAAGAGGAGAAGGGAGTGGGGTAACCACACTGGCATTTTAGAACCTTCACCCTGGAAGTGTCAAGAATGGATCAGAAGCCAGTCATGGTGGCTCACACCTGTAATCCTAGCACTCTGAGAGGCCAAGGTGGGCGGATCGCTCAAGGTCAGGAGTTTGAGACCAGTCTAAGGAAGAGTGAGACCCCATCTCTACTAAAAATAGAAAGAAATTAATTGGCCAACTAAAAATATATAGAGAAACAATTAGCCGGGCATAGTGTTGCATGCCTGTAGTCCCAGCTACTTGGGAGGCTGAGGCAGGAGGATGGCTTGAGCCCAGGAGTTTGAGGTTGCTGTGAGCTAGGCTGATGCCACGGCACTCTAGCCCAGGCAACAGAGTGAGACTCTGTCTAAAAAAAAAAAAAAAAACCAAAAAACCCACAAAACTAGAAACAACCCCCAATGCACGTCAGCATGGACCCTGCTAAATAAATGATGGTGCCTGCGTGCAGCGGCTTCCTCTGCAGCCCGTGGGGACAGAAAAGAGTGAGGACACTGACCGCACCTCTGGCCCCTGCAGCCTGACTGGCCCCAGCGGGGGAAAGGGGAAAAGCTTTCCCTCTGGGTGAAGTTTGGGGTTTTGTCTGTTCCACTAGACTGGACACATTAATTCTTGAAGGTAATTAGAGGATTTTTTAACTTTTCTGAAAGTGTCCGAAAATGTTCTGGCTCTTCAGGAGATTTCATCCAAGAAACAGGGGAGAAACGGGCCACAGAGAGAGTTGGGAAGAAACACGAGGTTGTTTTCTGCTTGTGGAGTTCAGCTTGTTCACTGAAAGTTACAGCAACAACGATAAGCTCTGCGGAGTTCTTATCCAGGAATGATGTGTGACTTTCACTTGATACTTTAAACACTTCTTCATTGTCTGACTATCTCGCGATATTCAAATGTGCACAAATCGAGGAAGTCAAAAGATAGTAAAAACAATGAAGCTACTTGCATTGTAAAGAGGGCGGAAGAGCTGCTGAGCTGCCTGAGGCCCTGGAGCTTGCAGAGTAGGGTCTCTCACCCGGACCCTGAGCACTGATTGCCAGGGCTGTCCTGTGCTTTGCTGGGGCTGAGGGGACCTTTAGCAGCATCCCTGGCCTCTGCGCACTACGCTATGCTAATAGCACACCCCCACCCTAAGTTGTGACAACCAAAACATCTGTAGACATTTCCAAATGTCCCCAGGGGGTGGGGTGCAAAATCACCCTCAGTTGAGAACAACCGCTCTAGAGGGATCTTTCAGAAGACATGGGTGTCTTCTGAGCTTCTAGGCCTGGTGGCTCCCAAATGGCCCTCTGCCAGCACCTCTCCATGGCTCCACTGGCCTGAGAGTCAGGAGATGGAGCCTCATTTTCCTCAACCCTAAAATGGGATTCATAGCAATGGCATGGCTCAAGGACAACCAGGGTCTCCCTTTCAACTGGATCTTGCCCAGCTGCTTTTCTTTTTTAAAATTTATTTATGTATTTCTTTTTTCTTTTTTTCTGGTCAAGTGGAGCAGTGGGAGTGGAGAAGGAACAAAGGAATCTGTAACTGGTTGTGATCAATTAGTTGTAGACACCACTACACTCAGACCAACCTTTATTTATTTATTTTTTGAGACAGACTCTCACTCTGTTGCCTGGGCTAGAGGGCTGTGGCGTTAGCCTAGCTCACAGCAACCTCAAACTCTTGGGTTCAAGCGATCCTCCTGCCTCAGCCTCCCGAGCAGCTGGGACTACAGGCATGCGCCACCATGCCCGGCTAATTTTTCTATATACATATTAGTTGGCCAATCATTTTCTTTCTATTTTTAGTAGAGACGGGATCTAGCTCTGACTCAGGCTAGTTTCCAACTCCTGACCTTGAGCGATCCACCCGCCTGGGCCTCCCAGAGCGCTCGGATTGCAGGTGTGAGCCACCGCGCCGGCCTCCCAGCTGCTTTTCAAGTGCTCAGGTCTCTCACTGAAGCCAACACGCCAACCGCCTTTCTGGACCCCACTGCCTCCTGTAGCTGCTGTCCTTTCCTCCACGGCCAAATGCATTCCCAGAGTCATCTCGTTCTCTGAAGGCGTCTCACAGCTCTCTGACCGCCGAACGCATCCCCTCCTCGATGTGACTCATCTGATGGCTGATCATGTCTCTCCCCAGAAAATCTTCTCTGTTGGCTTGATGCCCCAAGATTCCCTACCCACACTGCTTCCTCTCTACCTCCTCTTCCTCTGCCACCCCTGAGATGGTGGGTTCCTCAGGTCTCTCCCAAGCCCCTTCGCTTCTCACTCTACACTGTCCCTTCAGCCATCTCCTCTATGCTCCGCTTCCATCACCACGTATGGGGGAGCTTTGAGTCTCCCGCCCTGTATCTGTAATACGCCTGGAGCCCCTGAATTCAATGCCAGCCTCTGCCCCTGGAGTGTACGTGGAGCCGGAGAGCAGAGTGTGTCTGTGTTTGCTTACAAGGCCCCTAGCCCCTGAAGTGGTACCTGGCACATAGTCGCCCAGTACATACTGTCAGACACATGTCCTGGCTTTTCCTGTGCTGGGTCCTAGCAGATACCTCATGCTCAGAATAAGAGGGAAAGGCAGAATTCCAGGCAAGACTCGCACCCAGGAGCCAGCAGCCCCTGACTCAGCAAACTGTCCTATAGCGTCATTTCCCACCATTTGCAAACCATAAGGCCACCTTTGAGAG